CGATGACCTCCAGCAACACCTTTTGGGATCAGAGCCACGCAATGGGCAGTTGACCTCCACGGCAGGTGAGGGCTGTCCCAGCTCCATGGGGCCTCGGGGACAACTGTTCCCCCGGCCCTGGGGGCTGCTCGCTGCTCAAGTGCCCCCGTGACAGTTCTTCTCTCTCCCCTCTGCCAGGGCCACAGAGCCACCAGACCCCAGGCAGCTGCCCCCCTGGAGACAGGGTCTTCTCCCACCAGTTCTTGCGGCCTGAGCAGCTCCTCGAGGGGAAGGTAACTGGGCCAACTGGGCACCTGATGTGGCAGGAGAGAGGGCCACATTTGGGGCTCTCAGCCTAGCTCTTGCTGCACTGGGGACACAGGGGACTGGGTCTTGAGGACCCTGGGGACAGGTGGGTCTTGCCTAAGGAGATCCTGTCATCTTGCCTGGAGCAGCCAGGTCCTTCCAGCCCCTGCAGCCGTCATCACAGGTTGCTCTTTGCCCCATCCTCTTTCCCCAGGACGCAGAAGCCATTTACAACTGGCTGAGTGAGTTCCAGCTGGAGTCGTACACCGCCAACTTTCTCAATGCTGGCTATGACGTCCCCACCATCAGCCGCATGACCCCAGAGGTAAGGCAGGTCCTTACCCATTCTGGGCAGCATCCCCTCAAGCTGCCGGCAGCGGGTACCCACTGCCCCGTGCTCCCCGTGCCACTGCTGACCACAGCCCTGCTCTGCTCGCATTAGGATCTGACAGCCATCGGCGTGACCAAGCCAGGCCACAGGAAAAAGATCTCCACTGAGATTGGGCAGCTCAGCATTGGCTGCCCAACTACATCCCGGTGAGTGCCTGGCATCAGGCTTTGGTCCAGCACCCTCTTTCCCCCAGGTCTTTTCTCAGAGCTGTCTTACCCCAGGACAGGAGTGGGGTCTGTAAGTAAATACATGCTGCAACAGCCTATGTTAATGCAGTCAGAGAGACCCCAAAAATGCAGTCTCCTGGCCAGGGACAGGGAGGGGATGGATGAAAGTGCTGCCCATGCCTTGATGCTCATGGCAGCATCTCCGTGCTCTTTGCAGGCTGACCTGATGGATTGGCTCAGTGCCATCGGGTTGCCCCAGTACCACAAAAAGCTGGTGAACAATGGCTACGACTCCATCACCATCGTGACAGACCTGACGTGGGAGGATCTGCAAGAGATTGGCATCAACAAGCTGGGTGAGTCCCTGCCACTGTGCTGGGGTGGCCCAGGGCAGCCAAGTTTCCCACCCACGGTCCTCACGCCCCATTCTCCCCCAGGCTGGGAGGTGCAGGCATGTCCTGAGCACCTGGAAAGGGCAGTTCATGGCTGTCCCTAAAGACTCCCCTTGGCAGGCTGGAGCCAGGCTGAGCCAGGTGGATGCCGACCATAGTTTGTCTCCTCCCATAGGCAGGGTTTGCATAACCCGGAGGCCTTTGCCCCTGTTGGTGACGTGACCATGACGCTTCTTGGCCAGGAAGCAAAGGCCTTGGGGGCCAGAGCCAACCTAACGCCCCTTTCCTGTTGCAACTTTCCCACAGGCCACCAGAAGAAGATCATGTTGGCCGTCAAGAAGCTCAGAGACCTCCATAAAAGCCTCAACCAAGCAGAAGCAACTCTGGCAAGACGCAAAGTCCCTGGTGCCCTGGACATTGTCACCATCGAGTCGCTGGAGAACGGGGAGTGCCAGTCCCCACACACTCCCAAAATGACGACCTTCCAGGACAGCGAGCTCAGCTATGAGCTCCAGACGGCCATGTCCAACAGCTGCCATGAGACACTTGGTATCAAGAGCAGCCAGGGGATGTCCCGGAGCCAGGAAAGCATCGGGGTGAGGTCCCGGGGCTCGGGGCACTCGCAGGACAACGTGCTGTCCCGTCACCTCTCTAGCCCCTCGCAGGA